TAGAAAGCCGATTTTTTACAAATAAAGTTAAACAAGTTCAAGATTCTTCCCCCCTTATCGCTCCAAGACAGCAAAATTATTAGTAGCTACCAAATTAGAGCCGGCAAAGTGGAATTTAAATACACACGGAGTTACAAAGAAACCCTCAAATGGCTCATTGCTTCTTGTTCAACATTGGATAAAATAGCTTTTCAAAAATACGCTCTCCTTGCCGATAGTCAGTTGACACCCTAGCCACAAAGGAAATGTTAATGGTGTAGTTTCTAGCAGGTGCTAGACACAGTATTCCAGAATAACAATACTGGCACCAAATTTTATTTTGCTTTTTCACCTGGTCAATTGCAGGAACTGTCATACTGCCAGAAATAATGGTGAAAGTCTCAACTGAGTGTATGCAACAGCAAAACCAAACCATTCCGGAGACACAGAAAACATGGGCCATTTCTCACTGGGAAGATGCAAAGGTCCAGACTTCAGTTCAGTGAAGTTTTTCAGACTTATGATCAGATAAACATTTCAGTGGCCACTGCAGATTCACTCAGGAATATCAGGGCTGCACCTGAGGGGAGTGACACTGGCTAGGCCACCATACAGAAAACATATCACAAGAAAAGGGAAGCCAGCAGGTTTTGCCTCAGACAATATCCTAAGCATTGGGATGTCCGTGAAATATTTCATCTACGTACTGGTGAACAAATCTGTCTTTACAGCATAAAATTGCTAAAGGCTCTATTCAATGAGAAATATGGATTGTTTTCTGCTGTGAAGAAGCCTAGGCAAGCTGGTGGAAGTTGACTGTGCACCAAGCGGACTGATTTAGTGCGAACGCTCACGTGCACTACGCAGCCCAACTAACCTTAACATTTTTTATTTTTTTAAATAATGGCCTCCAGTCATCACTCCTACCAGCTGGAGGCCTTTCCAGATTCCAACACGAGTTTCATGGTTAGGATTTTTTTTAAATAAATTATGCATTTTACTGCATGTTATGTTGAATCTTCCTCCTTAGAAAGGTATCAGGTAATTTTACGGGGATGTTTCAATTCTCAAATTCTAGACTATCACAGGAAAGGAAAGTGCCCTGGAAAGCAAGCGGAAACAGCTGAGGGTGGGTGGGTGAGTATTTTTTTTAAAACCCAATCAGAACCCTAAAGTCAACCATTCAAATGAGTGCTTAAAGGAACACAACTTGGATTTTTCAAATAATTTACCACCCTCCCGCTCAAATCCAGTTTCTGACAGAGCCACCTTGAGATAGTTATGCCCTGGAATTGGATAATGGGCTTGCTATCCCCTGTGGCTGTTTATAAGGAAAGGGCTTTGTTCTGTGTTTGCACAGTGCCCAGCGCAGTGGGGCCCTGACCCCTAGGCAGTACCCTAACCCAAACAATAACCATTTCACCACGGGAGAAACTGACTATACAGAAGAAACACTGAATGGGAGGATACACAAGGCACTGTCAATTGCACAAAGTAGGGGCCGGGTTCTGCATCAGGGTCTGGGCAGGCAGATCCTCATGCTGAGCTCCAGCGAAATCAGAGGGGCTGATCATGGCCACAGGGGGTCTGGCCCATAAGATTCCCAATGCAGGATCAGAGGTTGTACCTGCATCTCTTGTTACTGGAGCAGATACAAAGTTTTTTTGACAAGTGCGATCTCTATTCAATTACAGCCCCTTAGCTTGTACAGAAAAGGGGGGGGACACTATCCCCCCCCCCCCCCCTCCACACATTGTTCTTTACAAATAAAGCTGCTGATTTGGTTCTGAACACTCCTGTGTCTGAATCTCTTAATTAAACGCTTCTGCTGCTCGAGATCTGGAAGAAGATTTGAACCGAAGTATTTACCTTCTGTGGCAGAATTCCTCCCGAAATGACAAAGACACAGGGGTGGGTTTTGATTGCTCTTTTTAAGCAGCTGCTCCCAGCGGCCCATCTTTTCCCTTCCTCCTCGTTCGGATTAAAACTTCATTCTTTCCCGGTGACCAAGACCTGTTGCCACAGGAATAGTCAGGAGGTCACAAACGGGCTTGATCTATGAATAGGAACAAGGAGAACAAAATGAGTAATGTAAACAGAAATATGGCAAGGTGTGCGGCTCCCCGCTCCCTCCAAACACACCCGCCCTGCACTCCTGGGATCACGTGGAAGACGGCCTAACCTTTTCTATCCAGGAACTCCTGTTCCACTGACCACATGCCTCCAGCCACGTGCCTCCCTCCCGCCCCACCAGATACACCCACATTTCTTAAAAGCCACTTGCTGCAAAGCATTTGTAACATTTTTATAACCTGCCTAACGAGGCTGCACACCCTGTGTTGCTGATACAACCAGGACCTGCACAGTCTGAGCCTTTTCAGCCAGTGATATTCCTCCTTTGAACAAGAACAGATACAAATCCTCTTTAAGGACAAGAAACTGAAGCATGTGAGCTATCTGGAAAAATACCGCTTTGTCCCAGGGCCTTTTGTTACACCTTGTTCTCCATGCAGCTAGAAGGCTGCCTGCTGCATCATTTCAGTAGCAAAATATTTGCTTCCGGTCTGGATGCTACCATGTGTTTTAGGGAACAGACATTCAGTCGGGTGTTTAGCCATATGTTGGGTACAGGGGAGTTTGCCATTTAAAGGGCTCTCCCAGCGGTGTAATAAAACCACCTCTGCGAGGGCAATGGCTCCCAGCGCTGTACCACTAACTACCCTGGCACTTTACTGTGCTAAGGGGGGGTGTTTTTTCACACCCCTGAGCGAAGAAAGTTTCAGCGCTGTAAGTGGCCGTGTAGACAAAGCCTAAGAGAAGTTTTCAGCGTGACTGATGCTCGGTAGGGACATAACCCAATTTCAGGTAACAAAGAATTTTCAGATCAGGAACGTTCTGTCCTGGAATGATTTCACACAACAGAAAGGGAAGCATTGGGAGACAGCGTATACTCCCCTATAGGTACATGCAGAACTAGTCAAATATAGTTCTTCAAACCACCACCGAACAGGACACCCTAGTGATCTCCCCGTGACATTTACGCAGCAATGAACTGGGAACCATCACACCTTGTATTTTTTGTAAGTCTAGCACCCAAAATTCACTATCAGAATACAAAGCGCATTTGTCACTACTGTACTGCATTAAGTAATTTCACATTTATCACTGAAACTATATAAAACCCCATTCCACTTCAGTTCCCACTCCCCCAACCCTTCCTCAAATGCCTGCGCAAACAACTGAGCTCTGAAAAACAACGCATTCATACAGCACTTAGAAAACCACAATGTGCTAAATGTTCCCTTTTATCAGTGTAGTGTATATATAATTCATATATAGACACTGTATATATCCGATCAGTTCCCTCACCTCTCGTCTCTGTATGCCACAGTGTTCTAGACTGTGCTTTCCTATGGGGGTATGGAAAAAAGGGGCCCCGATCCTGCCTGAATTAAAGTAGCACCCAGAGGCTACAAATTTCAATAATTCACCATAACAGCAACAATTCCCTGCCCAATTAAACAGTAACCGTGGTAACCTATTAGGAGAGCATTTATGATGCAACACAGGGAGGTGGAACCTCCCTATTCCCCAAACCACAGTGATTTTGCCCCACTTTCTCAGCAACAATTTAGCAGCAGCCCAAGCAGCTCAGACTCCACCAGCCTGGGCCAGGTTGATGCAGATGGTCTGAAATATCACCAGACATTAAAGTCAGAGGGCCCTCAGCAGGGTGAATTAGAGCTCATTTCCTGGCGCAGACGCCCGGGGCAGGGGAAGGATCCTGGGGTTTTTAAATCGGGTTATTTGCTTAGTCACTAAACTTGCAAAACAATCACTTTTGGCAGCAAGTGTC